CTCCCACCCCCTCTGCTCACTCTAGCGAACACCGCTCTGTTCTCTGCGTCCTCGAGCTCATTTCGTTGTTGTCGTCGTTTTAGATTCCACATCTAAGTGAGATCACATGGTTGTCTTTCTCTGATTTTTTTCCGTTAGCATAATGCCCTCCAGGTCCATTCATGTTGTTGCAAATGGCAAGATTTCATTCTTTTTTTATGGCTGAATAATATTTACATATATGTGCGCCACGTTTTCGTTACCCATCTATTGATGGACAGTTAGCTTGCTCCCATGTCTTGGTTATTACATCTAATGCTGTAATTAATATGGGGATGTATGTATCTTTTTTAGTTAGAGTTTTCGTTTCTTTTGGGTCAATACCCAAAAGTAGAATTACTGGGTCACAAGGTAGTTCTATTTTAATTTTTGGAGAAACCTCCGTACAGTTTTCCATAGCGGCTGCACCAATTTACATTCCCACCAACAGTGCACGAGGGTCCCGTTTTCTCCACATCCTCATCAATACTTATTATCTCTTGTCTTTTTGATGATGGCTGTTCTAATAGGTGTGAGGTGATATCTCATTGTGACTTTGATTTGCATTTCTCTGATGATTAAGGATGTTGAGCATCTTTTCACGTACCTTTTGGCCACTTGTAAGTCTTCTTTCGAAAAATGACTATTCAGGTCCTCTACTCATTTTTAAATCAGAATGCTTGATTTTTTTTTTTCTATTGGGTTATATAAGTCCTTTATATATTTTGCATATTAACCCTCGATTATCAGATATATGATTTACAAGTATTTTCTCTCATCCAGTAGAGTGCCTTTTCATTTTGTTGATGTTTTCCTTTTCCGTGCAGAAGCTTTTTGGTTTGATGTGGTCCCACTTGTTTAAGTTTGTTTTTGTTGCCTTTGCTTTTGGTGTCAGATCCAAAAAATCATCACCAAGACCAATGCCAAGGTGCTTACTGCCTATGTTTTCTCTAGGAGTTCTGTGGGTTCAGGTTTCTGTTAGGTCTTTAATCTACTTCAAGTTTGTTTTTGTACATGGCGTAAGATCGTGGTGTAGTTTCGTTCCTTTGCATGTTGCTGTCCCGTTTTCCCAGCTCCGTTTGCTGAAAGAGCCTGTCTTTTTTCCAGTGAATATTCTTGGCTCCCTTGTCAAGTTTTAGGTGACCATTTATCTGTGGGTTTATTTCTGGGCTCTCTATTCTGTTTCATTGATTGGTGTGTCTGTTTTTATGAGAGAAGCTGTCCGATACTAGCGAATGGGACGGATGACGAGTGCGCGGAGGCTGAGGGAAAGGGGACACTTAACACAGCTGCTCAGTTAGGTTCCTGGGGACAGTGGGTAAGCAGTGATTAGGCCGAGCCCCGAGTCTGGCCTGGATCCGCTTCTGCCTAATGGAGGGTCCCCGCGAGGACACTCAGCTTTCCGGAAGCTGCAGGGGCCTCATTTTGAGGACACAGTAATAACGGCATCGACTGTCCCGGGTTACAATGAGCCTAAATCGAGCAGAGTGTCTGGCAGAGCCTGGTGTGTAGTCAGCACTCAGTAAGTGTCAGCCGGTGACGTCGCGATCGGGGCTCTCGATGTTGCCGTCGTAACCCCACAAGGAGCAGAGAGCTAGTCTGAGCCTTGAGGAACAGGGTGATGTGGACAGGCCAAAGACAACTTGGGACTCCATGGCGGTGTTCCCTTCAAGATGCCAGAACTGGGAAATACTTTGAGTCCTGCCATTCTCAGGTCTAGATTGCAGTGTCTGCTACCTCGGGTTTACACGAAAGGAAACACGACTCAAAGAGATGACAAAAAACCTCTGCCGTTAGATTCCAGGCACCTCCATAGTTTGATGTAGATCTCACTTGCCAAGGAGAATTTTAGGGTCTTCTCATGCCTGCCCCAGGCTGAACTGATTTCTTTGCAGGTGTGGCCTCCTACAAAAATTACCGGCCACTTGTGCCATTGATTTGGCCCTTCAGTGGGTTCTTTTGAATTATTTACATCTTCGATGGCTCTTTATCAGTTTTACACACATATTTCCTGTCTCATCAAAGAGTGCAAGCTGCTAAAGTTCAAGAAAGGTTTCTACATTTTTCTACATTTCCTTCGACTCTTAATATGATGGTGGGTGTGCGGTAACCACTCAACATATTTGCCGGTTGTTAGATTTCTTTTATTCAATGTTACATAAAATTTGAGTAAGAATATGTCAGATAGAAAATGTTTCTCCCAAAGGGAAAAAGAGAGATTGGTTTGTTGAGTTATGTCATACAGAGAAGCACTCAGTCAGGTGTAACATATTCAGACTCTCGCCCCAAACAAAACCAGACATTTCCATCATCCCAGAAAGTTGCCTCTGGCCCTTCCCTTTGCCCCCCAAAGCCACCACTGATGAGATTTCTATCAACCAGTTAGTTTTACCTATTCCAGAACGTCCTGTGAATAGAACCATGCGTTACGTACTTTTCTGTGTCTGCATTCATTCACTAATATTCTTGGTAACCACCCATGTCGTTGCATGTATCAGCTCATTCTTTTATACTGGGGAGTCGTATTCCGCTGTTTGAATGTACTAGTTTGTTAATCCACTGTCTTGTAGATATTTAGTTTGTTCCAATGACTAAAAGTGCTGAGTATTACTCTATGTACTTTCTGTGGACGTTTTCATTTATCTTTGATAAATACCTAGGAGTGGAATGTGCTGGGTCACATATATTAATGTAATTATGCCCATAAGCAGGATTATAGGTAGCCTAATTTTTTACACACAGATCGCTGCCTAAAACATGCAGGAAAGATAGAAGTGAAATAATGTCTGCTGAACAAATGGCCACAAATTCTAATACAATTCACATTTCCAACAGCCTCGGTGGTAGATAGCATGACCTTCGCTTTTGGGTGAGAAACCAAGGCTCAGGTTACTTGCCTGGAGTTGCGTGTCCAGGCATGTGGTTGATGGCCCCAAGTCCGTAAACTCCAAAGTCCATGCTCTGGTTCTAGCACAAGGAATCACCTCTCAGCTGGAAAGTGGGGTCCAGCTGGCTGTGGCAGTGTGCCAGGCCGAATGAGAGGGTTTCAGAGGTGGATGAGGAGGTGAGTTGCACAGTGGCTACTACTGCACTGAAGATGTGTTTTGTTTCGCAAGTAGTTTCCAGAGTTGAGGTGAGATGCCTGTAGGTGGCTGTGTGGTCTTCACATTTGCCTTCCCATTCTGATGTCACACACTTACCATGTGCTCCTGGCCAGCAACTTAGTTTACAACCCTGAAATGCTAATCTAATCTCTATTTGAAAGATAATGAGACCCAAGACCAAGAGGAGATATGAAACAAATGTGCAGCAAGCAAACAAGCTTGCCTGACCCTGTCCCATCTCCTGCCTAGGGCCTCACTGTGGCAGCCTGTTGGCTTCTGATGCTCACGGCTCACGTGCCCTTCTGGCGTCTTCCTGGAGGCATCTCCGTGTGATGGGGTGGCCTTTGCGCTAGGCTTCGTCCACATTCTATACACCCTATAGCCCTTACTGCTATTTTCTGCATATCTTCTGAGCCGTCCTATATCCTCATTGAATGAGCTCGTGAAACTCAGGACTGCAACTTTATGTGTACGGCATCTCACAGTGCCTGCCTCTGGTCCACGTGGCACAGTCACTGCTGAGGCACTGGTTTAAATGCTACTCTACCGATTCTACTCCAAGATTATCGATAGAGTTATGTTTTGGTTTTCATTTCTTACCTCGGTAACTGTATAGAAAACAGTCCTCGTATGTTAACTGTAAGTGTTCCAGAGAGGCTGGAACAGGAAAGAGAAACAATTCCCTGAGCCTGGAGGTGGCAAAGTTGAGACTGTCCCTAGAGGGTCAGGGACACACACCTTGTTCTGTGCTGCATTTGGGAATGTTCTTAAATTGAGGATATGTAAACAATATTGCCAACACTGGTCCATAATCACTTTGTTATTTTAAAAGCAAATAGTTAATACTATTGAAATAAGCACATCGGAAGTAATTTACAAAAATATGAATATCTACTATATGCTTTCTGCAATGTGTTCCAAATATGAAAACACAATTTTTATAAAGAAAAGTACTTAGATCAAATACTTACATATTGCTCACTATACGCCAGGCACTGTCTTAAACATTTTTCATATATTGACTCATTTAATTCTCATAAAAACCCTGTGTGCTGAGTACTGCTATTTTTTTTTTGCAAGGAGAATGAGACCAAGAGAGGTTGAGGCCTCACCAAACTCACACCCCTGGTCAGCAGCCACGCCTGGCTCCAAACCCCAGCGGTCTGGTTCCCAGCTTGGTCTCGAAACTCTGCAGCCCAATTCAGTGACCTATCCAACTCCCTCCCTCCCAACCCCCACGTCTCCTCCCACTAACACCCACATTTTTTCCTAACTGGGGTGGGGAAACGCACAGGTTGAAGCTGGTCCTCCAAAACATTTGCAACCTTCTAGAAAGATTTGAACAATATAAACAATATTCTAAATTGTTTATAACTAGAACATACTTGAGTCTTAAAACTAACTATAAAAGATAACCAGGTACACAGGAGGTTCGGGGGTGGATCACAGCGGTGCGCTGGCAACCGAGCGGCTCGAGATCAGCGGATCGGAGTCTGGCCACAGTGCAGGCGGCCCCCGGGACCCAGGTGCTCTCCAGGGCACGGTAACTCCAGCCCTAGGCCGCTCCCGCAGTGTGAACGGAAGTCCGGGACGTGGCCGCCCGCCCGTCCCCATTTTGGCTGCCTCCCTGTGTCTCTTTCTATGTATTAGGTAGGGCTCCTAAGTATCCTAGTGTAAGTAGAGTGGTCTTATGTAGTAGGTGTCCTAGGGGGCCCAGTGGCACAGTGGTCATCTGAGTCACGGTGCTCTAGATGTTTTTCTTGTATGGGTTGTGTGTGCCTTCCTATTGTAGTTGAGCACTGGTTGCTGTTTGCACGTCAATGGGAGGGACTGACTCTCAGGTTGATTGGTTGTGAGGACTAGCTGGTGACTTCAGCGGTCCAGGTGTCCAGGGGGACCCTTGGCACGCCAGGTAGGGACAGGAACCGTCATCCCCAGGCGCGCGCTTCCTCTGGGGACTGGGCCGTTGGCGCGCCAGGGGGGTCCTGGCCGTTCGCCGGCCTCCGCCCACTCCTGAGGGCCCTCAGGCCACCCTCCACCGTCCCGCCTTCGCCCCTCCTCGCCTGCCCGGGCCCGCCGTGGGGCCCGGGGTGTCCCCAGCGAGGGCCTCGCTCTCGGCCGCCCTGGGGGCTCCCGCTTCCCCTGGTCGGGCGACCTGCCTTTGGCGGTGCCCTCGGCCCGGGCCGCGGCCCCC